TTTTTTTTTTGAGGTGCAAGATCGACTCAAACATGACGCGGTTTTTTCGAAGTTTCTCAAGCCCCATTTGAGCCACATCATTCGTTTTGACATCGTTGTATAGAGAATTGAAAATTAGATTCAGTCATAACAACATGAGTGAGGAACTGTTTGGACCCATTTATCAAAGCAGAGAACAGTCCGTATCAAAAATGTGATTGATTATTCAATGCCCTCCAGGCAAAACCACTTTTTCTCATTACAGCACAAGCAAAACAAAAATGCAATTTAACGATTCAAAAAAACATTTAAATACGATCAACCCACCTTGCTACTCCCGTAGTGTGTATCCACACTGATAGACACAAGATTTTCTGCAAAACAGTTTGCTTCTTGAACTCTCGCAGACCCGAACTTACTGTTAGTATCACCAGTCAGAGAATTCGGTTCAGGCCTGAGTGGCACAAAACTGTCGTCAGCATTTGCTTCGGCCTCCAACGCATGGCTTGCGTCTGTTGTTTCAATAGAACCTATATTTGAAACGTTTTTCTGTAGTCCTGAAATGTGGTTTTGACCGACGGTGATCTCAACAGGTTGATCTACATATGCCCCTATCGTAGGGAATGTTGGTGTTCCTTTACGAGACAGGTCTTGTGTTACTTTAATTTTTGGTGGCCGAGGCCTGTAATCGTTCGTGGGGTCGTATTGGAGCCCCTCTTTATTGTAAGTGGTAGCAAGTGGATATCCTGGATTCAATTGTTTGGTGCCAATTTGTTCTTTTGAATTGCCTTCGGAGCTATAAGGAATAAAAAAGTGAATTCTGATTAATCAGATCTAAAGTTATCTTGTATTTTTACATACTTATATACAGAGTGTTTCAAAAGTAATGGTACCAAACAAAATGAGTGGATTCCTGGGGTGAAAATAAGATGATTTAACACAACTTATCTTTTTTAGGATTTTACCAAAATTTGGAATATAGGGGTTTCTGAGCAAAATAAATCATCCATCTACTCCAAATCTGCAATCAGATTTTGAACAACTAGTAGAAAAATGGCTGCAACTTTTTACTTCGGCTTCATCGGACAGTGAGGCTGCATCAATAAAACACCCACTCAAAAGCTGCTAATTGTGGAGTTGTTTCTCCCCTTTCGTCCGAGAACCGCGCCGATCTTCATCGCTGCCCAAACCGAAGTCCATGTCGCAATTCACATGCTTTCTATTCTTTACACGCAAAGTTCTTCACTTTTGGGATGCTCTCGACTATTTCGAAATGTGAACGCAGATTTGGAATTCTTATGCTCTAAAACTCCTGTATTTGTACCAAATTTCCCCAAACCATTCCGCTCCGATCAAAACAGAACAAGTGTGTCGCCCTGTAATCGACAATCGTTTGGACAACTTTTCAACTAAGAAAAATTGTGTTAAAACACCGTTAATTTGTTTGGGTATCAGAAAAAAACTTGATTTATTATAAATTGGGATCGTTGAATAGAGAAAAGCTTCAGTAATACAAACGTTAATGACTTGTTCCACTCAGCTCTCCTACATGTTGATTCTCAAAAATATTTGCTATAAAGAGCATATTTTTTGATTTCCGTAAAAGACCTGGGAATTTTTAACGAAATATTCGAGTATTTAGATAGAAGAGATAGTTGTACGCAAATTCAGCGATTCACTGATCACGCTTAAAAGCTTTGCAGAACGGACATCCGAAGTTCTTGGAAAACTTCAAAATTGATATCTGTATTCTGGTTTTTATCTGTAAAATGGATCGTTTAGTAGTACTAAAGATCGAAAATTATATTAATTTATATTAATTAATATTTTAATAATTGGCTGCTTTATGAATAATTGACAATGCTACATTGGACCTGGTTTAAATTTGGACGAAGATGTTCTTAGTTCGAACATATTTATGCAGAGATAATTTTCGAACCAATATTCCGTTGATTATTTGTCTATCTTGCTAAAATTAGTTAATCTGATGTACTTGCCTAGAGCCACTATTTTTCCGCTTTCGATCAACTCGATATCGCTGCGAATTTAGTATAAAAGATTGCGGCTGATCCTGAACTGGATGGTTTGCAGCAGTTCCGGTAGAAGATGGACTTTGATGAATCTCCCTAAAACCGGTTGGCGATGATCTACGATTTTTCTCGTTTAAATCAGAAAAATCAATATCTTCTGGTGGTATAAAGTTTGCAGATTGAACAGATCTAAAATTTGGACTAGAAATAGTAAAGCTGCTTCACCATATCTACTTAGTTAAATACTTCGCCATATTTTCTTGTTCCCCTTCAAAGGTTTCGGACTCTTGAGACGGGATTGGTTGAAACACGCACGCAAGACCGTTAGAACTCTCTGCCCCAATTCTATTCCCATTTGCAATAATATTTTCCTGGGAGCTTTTAAATGCAGTATTTGTGGTCGTAGCAGATACATCATCTTGATGTCTGAAAGTGTTAGAAAAACGGATAGTGAGAGATATCTGAAGTGTAAAAAATACTCACTCTTCGCTACTTTCTCGAGTACATAATTTCAAAAACGGCTCTCTTATAGAAAAATGAACCGTGGGCAAATCGATGCATTGGTATTTTTTGATATATTCGTATACTTCTTTACACATGCCGTTGTTAACGGGGGGTTTCATAAGATGGGCAACGAAACGTTGAGCCATTTTCTTTGGGATTTTTTCTCCTCTTTCAATAAGTTTGCGAATCAACGACCAATGGCTCGGAAAATCATTCGCAGAAATTATTGTCTCTAATAGTGCCGAATCTGTTATATACAATAAAAACTGTTATGGGTGTCTTAACTAAGTAATAAGTAGAATTGTGACAAATAATAAATAATTAAAAATAAATAGACAGAAAGTGCATTGCAATTTACTTTTTATTCGAATGAATCCAAAACTGCCATTTTTCGATCAGAAGCTATGAGTATAAAGAAGTACTTTTCTTTACTGTTCATTTGTTTTACTTTTACGCGCATGTGCACAAAAGTAAATGTGACACATGGAACGTGTCACTGTAATAAGTTTTCGATAAAAGGGCAAAAAGTGTCGTTTTTCGAGCGACGTCGGCGTTGGACATGTGTCAATGCGTCAGGAGTTCGAAAAACGGATTTTCGCCCTCGTATCGAACAATATTTTTAATTCGAATGAAAGACATAACACGAATCATTAATTATAATAAATAAAAATAGCCAAAAATAAAAACCGTCAACTTCATATTTAAAATTTGATGTCAATGCCATTTTTAAAATTGTCATGTTTTGACGCTTGTAATTTTTCAAAAGCGTACTTTTGTAAGCATATATAAGTGAAACAATGAGTGTTGAAAATTCAAGTGCTTCTTTCACGGTATGGTGTTTGTATAAGATGCATATTTTGCATAAAATTTGCGCTCTTTTTACTTTTTAATGGAAATACTTCAAAATATTTTATGACAGTGACACGTTCAATTAGTCAGATTTACTTTTGCGCATGTGTGTGTAAAAGTCCGTGCGTAAAAGTAAAACAAAAGAACAGTAAAGAAAAGTGCTTCTTTATGATCGTCGCTTCTGATCGAAAAATGGCACTTCTAGATTCATTCGAATAAAAACTACTATTTTTATTGGAAATGCCAGAAATCGATTCATTAGAAAATTGGTTAGTACACTCCCAATAGTAGTTTTCTATACAGGGGCGAAAAATGTCGTTTTTCGAAAGACGACGGCGTTTGACACCCGAGACAAAGTCGAGGGTGTCAATCCGTCAGAAGTCAAACACTCATTGTTTCAATTGTATATGCTAACAAAAGTACGCTTTTAAAAAATTACAAACGTCAAAACATGACAATTTCAAAAATGGCATTGACATCAAATTTTAAAGTTGACGTCTTTTATTTTTGGCTAATTTTAGTTATTATAACTTATTATTCGTGTTATGTCCTTTATTCGAATAAAAAATATTGTTCGATACGAGGGCGAAAATCCGTTTTTCGAACTCTTAACAGATTAACACCCTCGACTTCGTCTCGGGTGTGAAAAACGACAGTTTTCGCCCTTGTATCGAAAACTACTATTCACGTTCAATTTGTCACATTTACTTTTGCGCACATGCGCGTAAAAGTAAAACAAATGAACAGTAAAGAAAAGTGCTTCTTTCTTATGATCGCTTCTGATCGAAAAATGGCACTTTTAGATTCATTCCAATAAAAAATACCAATTGCTAAAATCAGTTTCAATTCGATGAAGTATTCTTACCTAAATTTACACATTTTGAACGATCCACACGACACATTATATATTCCACTGCATTTTCAAATGTATTCAAGTCGGTGAATTTCAAGCTGTGTATAACGGTCGTAACGCCAACTATTCTGTCTAGCATGGGATGGTTGCTGTTCAAAAATAGATCTAACATATTAATAAGTTCCTCTTTGTTTCCTGCATAAGATAAACGGATTTAGAAAATGATTTTCGTATATTCACGTTTAAACCTACATACCTTTAATTGCAAACATCGATGCAAATTCTTTAAAAATTTTGCTGAAAAATATGGGATTCGATTTCGCATAATTGTATGCTACATAGAACAAATCCTCCGGCAAACTTAATAACTGATTTATTTTGCATTTCAGATTATGTTTATTTGAGCAAAAAACCTTGTGACAATTGTTATTGAAAAAAAAATTGAAGCATAGTCCCATGTAAACTTGGGGCACCTGAAATCAAAATCGTTACAATTTAGAGCCAACCGTTGTAATAAAATATAAATTTAATCTTGAATTACAAACATTTTTAAGACAGGTTCATTCAGGACAACAATTGAAGTTCTGCAGTCGAGGAACCTACTACTTCGGTCTTTTTATCAACTTATTTAACTTTGTTTTATTTTATTTATTTATACAATTTAGCAAAACATTTTCGGTTAAACATGTTTAGCGGTAGAGGCTTCTGAGAGAAATGAAAACGAGCAAAACATAGGTAAAAAACACATGCAGGGCTGATATTGAACCGGACCCAAATTGCTTTTAATTGCTTTTAGAAAAATATGGAAAAAAGGCGAATTAAATTGTCTTAACGTGGAATTTAAGTTGAATTGTACCTAGAATGTGCCGTAAATATGATGTGCTTTGATGGCTTTTATAATAATCAACGCCGCTCAGCCATACATTTACGTAGAACATTTCGGAAAAATTTGCGCTGCTTAAATTTGCTCTTAAATCTCACCTGGCGAACAATGGACATTATGTCATCTTTCATTTGACTTACCCTTGGTATACTGCTGGTTTGAAGCCAAGCTGCTACGAAATTCATTTTGTTAATATCCTCATTAACAGCCTCTGGCATCTGTTGTGGAAGAGAAGGAACACTCGATGCTTCAGATTTAACATCATTGTCGAATATTGTTTCATGAACAGGGTCATCTTCCATATTCGTGCTGACAAAAAATATTTTATATCAGCGATTGTGCCTTTAAATTCTTTTTGGAAATAAAATCTAACAATGTATGCTTGCAATACCTCTTAAAGGAAGGTATTCAAAAATTCCTGAAAATATAATTTTTCATAGTAGTACTTTCATAGTACTTCCTGTTTCCTTTTAACGCAATTGCTTTTTGCAAGTATTTATCATGTGTTCTGCATTTATTGCTGTTTCTGTTAGACACGTTTGTTGTTGTTATCAATGAATTTCTATAACTACTTCACAGTAACTGTATTATCGGGTTGTTAAACCCAGGAAACAAGACTTGAGACAAGTTTTTACCACCACTTAATAAATTCATTAACTTCATACAAAATACTTTCAAAAATCCTAATAACATTTGTTCCGTGCATATTATAGAACTTGAACTGTGTGGAACTTTTGAAATAGTCGAAAATATCATATTCTATTACCTGGCAATCAAAGAAATAATATCGAAATTGTCTTCACGAGCTGTTGGGTCGTTAACTGTAATACTGCATGCGGGAGAACTCTGCATTATCCCTTTCTGGCGAGTCGGAGGTCGTTTAAGGGGGACTTTAAAGACCGAGAAACTGGAACTTGATACATCAGACGTCTTACTGCTTCTACTTGAAAACATGGGGAAACCTATTTCTGTTTCCTCCACTGGGCAAAATTTGATTACATTATCTGTGGATTTCAGAAGAATGATGTCCTCCAAGTAACTTTTAATTGTATCAAGCCATGGATTTTGTATCGTTTTTAATGTAAGCTTGTTCAAAAACCTTCTTCGCTCGCCAGTAACTTGAATAGTAAAATTCAAAGGTGTTGGCTTGCTAACAGGAATATCTGGCTTATTGCTCAGAAGCGAAAAATTCTCTTCAACTCGGCTCATAGTCAAATTATCATCTCTACCAACACTATTGGAACTTGTATGAGATATGCTTTTTGCCGATGCGGCCGTTTCGTCTGGATAATTTTCCATGTTGTTATAATGGTCGCTCTTGGTAGTGGCATCGTATGAATAATACAGATCTAAAATTACGAATCTACTTGTTATTTTGAACAACACATTTTTGGATTTATTCGAGGGACATTGAATAAGGAAAAGAGGTCTTCCTCAAGGAAAGCTAAAAACCCCTTTCAGTCGAGGGCCTAGGCCACGCCCCCTTGTCTCGACGGTGCAAAGACCAGCCAGCACTTCCTAGAGCAAGGGATCACTAATCCGACCAGTCACGTAGTGTTGGATTTTTGCGTTTCCAGCCTGCTAGAAACGCAGTCTTGCTTTCGCAGGAAGTGTTGGTTTGTCGTCACGTTTTGTCAGGGGACAAAATCCTCATAAAATATGGAAAGTCGCTTATACAGGGGACCATGGGTAGGACGATCAGTCAGATATTTAAGTCTATATATAAGTATGGGCCTTATAGTGGAGGTGTAGAGCAGAAGTTTGTTTTGAGGTGATAGGAATGAATGTGGCTCCAGAAGAGTATAACTTTCTTTAGGCCATGCAAGTCTTTTGTATAGCATAGTTAACATGCTTATTGAAAGAAGTCAGGCGTCTAGTTTGAATCCCAAGTATTTCACCTCTTGTACGGGTTTGATTGGGGATTTTGGACCATGAGTAGTGATAGGATTTTATTGTTAGTGAACTTGCGCGAAAAAGATGGAATATAGTTCAGTCTTCCTGGGAGTCTCTCTAAGTTTCCATTTGTCGAAATACGGGGTCAATAAACTCAAGTGATGTGCAATGCGAGAGTTTGCAGCCTGAGCATAGAAAGACGATGTGTAAATCTCCGTCTCATCCGCGTATTGTGCTTTTTTGTAGTGGGAAGCTTTGGAATGTCTGCTGTACAGGGTTATTCACGCTATACGGCACGGAAGTTTGCGGCTAAACCGTTTGATTTTTTAAAAGTATTATTTCATGAATTGTCCGACGCTTACCGAGCGCACATTTTAAAAATATTTTAGTAATGTACAGGGTGTCCCAAAAGCTCTAAAGGTATCAAAGTTGCGTTTTTTTTAAATAGAATGTCCTATATATTATTGCATTTTTGGATTCGCTGAACAAAATAAGTGTCTGTTTTAATAAGGTTTATAACACCTAAATATTAACGTTTTTTAAATAATGCGAATTTAATCAAAATCTTATCTAATTTTCACGTGTCAAATACTTTAGAAGTATTTAAGTTATGTAAGCGTAATTTATAGTGAAGTGTAACAAGATATAATATTTTATATCCCAATGATAATAAAGTTACCATGTTATACAGGGTGTCCACAAATTTAAACTAAACAAATAAGAACTTTAAGTGGCTCTAACTTGATTAATTTAAATACAACCCCATATTTTTTAA